GCCAGGGGCGAAGCCGTTAACACCGCCTCCTCCTGCCTAACACCTGCGCCTGCGCGGTGTGTGTTGGGCGGGAGGGGGAAGTTCCGGGCGGTCGGGGAGACGTGCTTGAGGGCGTGCGGAGTCAAAATTAGAGCTAAAATGTTGCCCCCGAAGTAAACCGGCACTTCCATCAATTCAGGTTACAGTGCTTAAAAGCTAAAAAGAGCAAGTTTCTTACATGGTTCTTCATTACGTCTCGATTTTTTCCTCAAAAACTCTTCGGCTTCCTTCGCCCCCTCACTCGCCCCTCCTGCTGAGAGCTGTGCTAGCTACAATAATAACCAAACCGGTAACCAGAGACAACGGATATTATTAAAATACACAGTTAACACATTTTCCAGAAAACTCCCTAGCTTTCAAACAAAGATTTTTGAAAACAATTTGCAGTTCAGATGATGCGTTTTCAGGATTCCTGTTACACAGAGCACTGTACAAGCTGCTAGGAAGAAAATTAACTCCCTCCCAGCCCAAAGCAGGAGACAGCTGAAAGGAAATTTTCTATTTCATGTAAGAGACTACTGTGAGGAGAACCAAGCTGCAAGGAGGTGTATTTTGATGTAACAGGTGTATTTTGATGTGACACCTGATAAGCAAGATGAACAGAGGTGATCTATTGATAAAAGACTTCAAACCAGACTGATTGCACTCCAGGGCACTTTGCTAAAACAGACACGCAAAAGGAAACTGATGAAAATAAAAGAATGAGAGATTACTGCCTGCTTTCTTAGTGAGATGTGTTGTTTCTTGTTTGCTACCGCATTGCCCAGTTCATCTAACACATATCCAAGCAAAATTGAGCTCTCAATGTTGATATAACCCTTTCCAAACTGTCTTAGGTGTATCACAAATAAATGCCAGGCAATTTTGTAGTGGTATTTGAACAGCAACAAGGCCAGGAGCTGCTACCACGAGCATTATCAGTGGTGAAGTGTTTGCAAAGCCTTGACCTTCTGCACTCTCTAAAATTACTATACAGATGTAACAACCAAAAAGCTTGATATTCACCTGTTTTAATAGTTCAGCTGAAAGCACCGTTTGTTATAAAATCATTAAGTATTTTGACAAACTCCTCAGTTAAGTAACTTGGCATACATTTTCTTTGCCTCTAATAGAAGCGAGTTTAACATTTTATTTATTAACTTTGAAGTGGAACAGTTCAGGAACTTCTGAACACAAAATTAGCAATCGTTTCAAAGTCAAATGTTTCCTCCAAAGTGTTTTGGTGTTTGGTTTTTTTTTTTTCAAATCCTGTTGTTTCATTTGCCCTATGAAAATAATAGAATCACAGAATGCTTTGGGTTGCAAGGGACCTCAAGGCCCATCCAGTTCCCCCCCCCCTGCCATGGCACAGACACCTCCCACTAAACCAGGTTGCTCAAGGCTCCATCCAACCTGGTCTTGAACACTGCCAGGGATGGAGTGTCCACAACTTCCTTAGGCAACCTGTTCCAGTGTCTTACCACCTGTGAGACAACGTGCTAAGATAATAAACTTTAGAAAAACAAAAATTGTATATGCTAAGTAAAGATATGCCAGAGTCTAAACAGTAAAATGTCAGCAATTCTAGCCTAGGCAAGATACTGAAGCTCTGGGAAAGTTTCTGCTTTTGTTCATCAAGTCAAAGATTAGGACAGAGTTTTTACCTCTCCTCAATTATTTATCTGTCAGACTCATTTAACTTGGTTTGGTTTCTCAGTTTCTGAAAATTCAGTGGAATGAGCTTCTATACACAATCCCAGGCACATTCCTGGAATAAGATGAAAGTGTGAAAACTTTTTGGAGTCTTATCAACTGTGACTTGCGATGTTTGCACTGTCATTCACAGGCTGCTAGCCCTTAGCAATAACTGGCGACTGATGAAAGCAACCTTCCTGGTAAAACCTTTGATATCTCCCCAAAGATTTACTTCCTGCATCCCAAGTTTATCTTCTCTCTATCCACAAGAAATGTTATTTTAATTATTTTGCCTGCAACTGCTAGGGCAGAAAAATCAGGGGCAGAAGGAAGGGGGTAAGTAGAGAATGAGGATTTTCTGCTGAAAAAAAAAATAAATTACCCTGTTCTATAGCAGCAATTTCCACCTGCTTCTGTAACAACAGCTGGGGGAGCGAGTTGTATGTATGTATGTAGGCAACTTCTTTACGTACAATCACTACAAATAACCACTTTAAAACACAGTAAATCCATCTTGCAGACTGCTGAAGAGAAACAACAGATTTACCAGGATGAAACTGCAAGCTGTTCAATGCTGCTTCTAGTTGAACTGTATTTCTTCCTCTCTTACCATATTTCTTTCTCTTTTACACAAGAATTAGAAAAGGATCATTTCAAGTCCTTTTATCTCCCACCTAATCACACAATGGTGCTGAGATTTACAAACACAAGAAAGACACTTGTCTTGAATTTACTTTTGCTTCAGGAAGTTTTCCTTCTAAACACATGTACGCTTTTTTATGAGGAGAGAGGAAAATGTGGACCTGGGGCATGGACAGTGCTGGATTCTGAACTCAATGAAATCTGTTCTTGTAGATGTAGAAAAGATGCTGCAGTAGTGTAATGTGTTTCTTTCCTTCAGAGAACTGATACACTGCAAGTTTACATTTTCATTATTTATTGATGTTAATACACACTTCTCATCATTTACACAAAAATAAATACGAAATTTAAGAAAACATTATTGACATTATACAGCTAAATAAAGTAAGAATTCATTTTAGAAGGTGGTTACCTGTAACAATAACTAATTTTCCTTTCAGGACAGTTCTTCTGTCAGTCAACCAACTGAGAAATTAATGGGAACTGCATCTTTACAACTGAGGACGGATTCTGGCATACTGGTGATTTTCAATGAAAACTGGACTTGGTTTGAATACCACAACTGTAAAAAAATCTTTGGTTTTTTTTTTGTTTGTGATAATTTACTGATTAACTACAGTACGACTCTGTATCTTCTATAAATAGAACATCATTATCAAGATACTCCAAAATGATATTTCCACCATTGTACAATGGACAGTCTTTATCAGCCAGCCACGCTTCCAATGTGTGCTCAAATGGCAAGGCTTCTCCAGAGGCACTATGGCATAACCTCAGTTTCTGAAAGAAATTAACATCAAGAAATTAACATCAAGATTTGCATATCTGAGATGCAAGAAGTGGGGTAGGGGAAGGACAAAGGGATAAAAAAATCCAAAACCCCACAACAAAAAACGCCCCAAAAATCAAACCCCAACCACCTGGAAAACGTTTGTTATTATTACTGACTTACTTGGGATGTTGATTTGTTGTTGTCATTTTTAAGGCTTGCTAAGGAAGCTGCAAAATCTACTACTTTGCCAATACTCCACTTACTGCAAAAGAACATGGGCTTGCTCTTCTCTTTGTTCCCCTTTGGTAAAAATACTTCAAAGTAAATTCTTTCTGTCTAGAAAAAAACAAAAAATAAACAAAAAATTACTCACAGAAGAAACACATAATCCCAGTCAAACACATTAATAGTTTTTCAGTAAAAAACTGAAACTTCAACCCAAAAATTACCAACTGAAACATGTTCTTTTCCATCAGAACCGAGGCCCCATTCTACTGCAGAACACAAGTGACACACATGAGGGACAGTAAGTTCAGAAAGGTGGAGAGGACATCTTTCAGCAGAGTCCCACAGCTGGACTGCTATGTACAGACAGACATGAAAAGGCCTCTGCCCTGGGTTTGCCGGACAACAATGACTGCTCTGGGGAGAAAAAGGTGAGTTTAAATGAGCAGCGCTGGCTTTTGGCAGCAGTATAACGTCTCAAATGGCAATGCAGAGGCGGTTAAGCCATTGCAATTTGCCATTCTAGAAGTGCCTGCTTCACAAACCAACATTCCGCTCATGGCTGGCAAACCCTTTATCCTGCTCTCCCTCCTTCTATGTACTAAATGCTCTTTCAGTATCCACTAGACTGAAATACATTGGTTTAAGAAACTTCAAGAGTAACCTATGAGGGAGAGATTTTGAACAGGATTGGGACAATCCCTTCTCCAGGTTTATTTCTTCTTGTTGACATGCAACAGAAGACACAGAGCAAGCCTGACCGGTATATTCCTCAGTTCAGATCACCCTTGCTGAGTCCAAGCCAGGCACTACCCTAACTAGACAGAAGTCTTCTTTTTAGAGGATTTATTTATGCCTTCTCGAGAAAAACATGCAACTACCCTTCCCCCACCTATGTTCATAAAACTGAGTCTAAACTTCAACCTGTGCATTTTCCTCAAAACCTGGGTGCTCTCCACACACCAGAAAATTTTTAACGTCCAGGAATATTACAAAGGGGCATGAGAAGCAGGACCTGAATCTTGCTAAAACGTAAATGGCCACAACTTGCAAAAGAGCTGACGCCACAGCCATCCCAGTATGGACACACGCTAACATCACTCAACGGCTGTCAGTGCCCCGGCACCTTCCTACAGCTGCTCCTCCGGTTCCAAGGACAATGAGACAGCCTCCCCCAGGTCACTGAACGGAATTCACCTATCAGCTTATTCTGCTGGTGCACCCCTTGCTATGGGATATGCCTCCTGGAATTTCTGTGCCAAGCCATGGAAACACCAGTCAGTCAGCTACACAACAGCCAACGCTGTTTTGCAGCATGGCCCTCCTGTTCTGAGCCAGTCAGTCTCAAGAGGGGTAACTCATGTCAGGTCTGACGCCAAAAGAAGCAGCAATCTGCAGAAGGCAAATCTGAACAAAGAGGTCAGAAAAAAGGTATTTCTAAGATTGCCTAGTTTTGCTGATCATCACAAAGGACCTCTGGTGCCACGTGGTCCAAAACCATGCTCAAAGCAAGGAAAACTTTAAATTTAGACCTAACTATAAAGGTACATCAGGTGGCTCCAAGTCATATTCAATCAAGTTTTGAACATCCCAAAGATGCAGATTCCACAAATTTTCTGAGCAGCTTGTTCCAAAAACTCCACCCTCATTGGGAGTTTTCTTCCTACTATTTAATTGGAATGTCCCATGTTGCAGCTGGTGCCCCTTGCCCCCTGTCCTTATGCTGTGAACCTCCAAGGAAAATGTGTCAATCTTCTCTGTGTGGTGATGAGGGAACTAAAGAGCCTAAGAGGCATTCCAGAAACTTCATATTCAAAAAATCTGTCACCAAACTGGAACAAGCTGGGCAGAAGGTGGCTAGGAGTCTAGGAGGCAATTTAAATAGACAGGTGCTGAAGGTCAACAGGCTTAATTCTAACAGTGTTAGAATTATCACTGTTCTAGATGATTAAACAACTAATATCCAAATGAGAAAATGAATAGTAAGAGAAATTAGCACAGAGTAATTTGTGCTACACTTTTTAGAGGTTACTGGCTTTGGAATTAGGGAACAACTTTTAAAATTTTCTTATATGTATCGAGGGTGGATTTTTAAAATTATGTTCCACAATATTTGAAATTAATCACTTGCCCTCCAGCACCTATTTATTAATGTGGTACTATCTGTGAAGAATGCTACAAGCAAGTCTTTATATTATGACTTCTGCCTAAGCAGAGCTATCGGATTTCGAAGCATGACAAAGTATAAAAGAAGAAATTCATAAGAGGACTGAGTAATGGAATAGCTGTAGCTGTTTTAGAAATAATAATTAAATGTACTCTACGAAGACAAGACCAACACTAGGACTATCACATAGAAGGTTTTCAGAATTATAAATCAATACAACAGGCCTAAACTTGGTGTGCTCCAACAGAGCAATGAGGTGAAAAGTAATCTATAGTTCTTTTAAGAGGATACATAAGTACACATCTAAAGTGAAACCTGAGATGAAAGAATCAAGTTGTTTCCAAACCCACCATAATCCTGGTATGTGGAAAAGACTTAACCACCAGGTTTGACTGGCCATGGTCATGAAAAACAGTAAGGAATCTGTGAAATACTTCAAGAATCAAAGAAATCAAAGGCTGAAAGAAACATAAAGCAACTGTCAAAACCCTTTTCCAACCCAAAAGCAGGAATAACTGACCTCAGGCCCTTCATACCTCATCCAGCAACGTAATATGTGTGTATTACACCTGAGTAGCAGAAATAAGAATGGAGTTTTGCAGAACACAGTTTCCTATGAGGCAGGTTCCATCTGACTGGTACCGAGCTGTGCACGCTGTGTCCTGTCTGCGTCAGAAGCCTCTCAGTGCCCAGCGTGAAAAGCGTCCCTTTGAGATGGGTTTGCCATGTGTGACCAGTCCCCCCTGCAATACCGTTAGCATAACTACTGCCATTTTGTAGGGCAAACAGACATCCTCTGTGACCGACCTGGTCACCTACCAGTCCTCTCTCCCCTCTCCTGGTGGCCCCGAAGGTCCTGCACGCCAGGCAGACGCCTTCTCCCCCTCTGTATTGGCCTCAAGGTACCTGGGTGCCAGGCCAACTGCTCCCCTCCTTACCGGCCTGGAAGTCCCACCACCCAGCTGGCCTGGTGGTGATGACCCCGTCACAGAACAGGGAAGCGCAGCAGCACACAGAGCGCTATCCTGAAAATCAAGCTGTTACAAGCTGTAAGTGGGACTTGGGCCAGAACTGCTGCTGGACTGCAAGACCCGTGATCCCCCACTGGCCAGGGACACCCTCACTGTCATCTCCTTCCTCCAAGGACTCAGCAAGTGACTTGTATTCTTTTCTGTTTCGAGTCTAGATGATGACTGTGATGCTGACGCTGCAAGGCAAGCATTAAGATCTGACCCAATCTGCAGAGGGTCTGGGTGATTAGGAACCACGAGCTAAGCTGTGTTCTAAAATTCTGTGCTACGCTACTTATAAAACCATGCTACGCTGGTTCTGGTTATAAAAATCCTGTACTATTTGATCATAGATTGCTATGCTGATCACCAAAGACTGTTAAAGTAATAAAGCTTTAATTGTATCTACAAACTTAGTGCCTCATCATTCCACCAAGGCTGCCCAAAAGAACCTGTCTGTCCCCGCAGTGCTGCTGTATGGCAGGCAAACACATTTTTGCTGTAAAATGAAGGAATTTGACATGACTGCTCCGAACTCGGCACAGACACCTTATAACAGAGACAAGACCAGTGTGATTGGTTTTGGGTACCAGGCTGAAACAGATGTATAAACAACTGCGGGCCTAACAATTAAATCCAAAACCAAACTGAGGGAACTAAATGAAGACAAGAAATTTAAAACATTTCCCATTTCTTTTGAGAATTCCATTACTGAAAACAAACATGACTGACCTGAGGCAAGGACTTGTCCCCACACGCATGCATTTTCAGTTTCATTAATGCCACTTTTGCTGCTGTCTCGCTGTTTTTCGCTCCTTTACGTTTTTTGCTTTTTGCTTCCTCACTTTTTTTAGAATCTGAGAACAATATTATTCCTGTTAGTGTGATGATTCAGACTGTCTTCTGAATATATCTTGGAATTAGCCTATTGGGCCTCCTTACATCTCCAAGGTACCCATCCCTTTCATGTCCTCCTAAGGCCATCAAATCAGGTACTCCTACTGAAGAATATTTGGAATTGTTACAGCTCTAGCAGAACTCCTTTACCCTGAAAAGCAGATGAACACTATCACAAGATAGCGTGCAAGAGCCAAACCGTTACAAATTCCTAAATTTCTACATCTGTGGCCATCACAGCATTCATAGGCAACAGTTTCAGGTCCTCCTTTCTACACACAACCCCCCTGTCCAGTCAGGCAGTGCTGCTCATTCTCTTTCCTGTCCTAAAGCTTGTTTAAAAATCGTAGAACACTACATTGTAGACTCACACTTTTTTGCCATCTTGGTTGTGTAGGTATAATCCCAGCAAGCTGGCATGTGTACCAGTACAGTACAATTGCATTATTCGCACATGAATTAATATGCAAATAATAATGGCTAGGTACAATTTGTTTTGTTACAGTACATATAGGATGAGAACAAGACAGCAGTTCTGAAAGAAATGTGAGCCCTATTTCATCTTTAAAGAGTCGCTTTATGGACATACACTGCGGTTCTTGTCTCAGTCTAGATGAACAGCATTACAAGCTGGCAGGTGAGTTTAGGGATATTTAAACAACTCCCCCCCGCCCCCATCCTTTCTTCTTATTTGGTCAAACCTGAACCCTCAGAGGAGGTCACAAGCTCAAATAGACTTCTGAAGAAAACTGTGGAATAGATATCCCACTGTACTTGCCTATAATATCTTTAACTAGCTGCTGGGTGGCAGCCATTCGAGGTTTTGGTGTGTCCAGTTTCTCACATTCATGGTCTGATTGATGCCGGTGTCTGTAAACAACAGTGTGAAACTTGTATTACCCCCTCCATACACGGACGGATGAGTACTGATGTTTAAACTCTCTGTTCCACTCACCTTAGACAAAAATGTTTTTCACAGTAGGGACACAGAACTGGCAAAAGCTCCCTTCCGTTGCAGTCCTTGTATGAGCATGGGTAAGACCTGTGCTGATCTGGTTGCAGAGGATTGTTCTTTATATTCACCTAGGCATTAGTACAAAATATTTTGTGTAAGTAAACAGAGATGACATACACATGTCACCACCCCAGCCTTCCAAAAGAACTGTGCTAACTCTCCATTCCACGGGCAAAACTAGTCCAATGGTTCTGTCCTACTTTTGTCCTGGCTAAGTTTAGCTCAGACTTCAGAAAAAGAACCATCAATCCTACTCAAACTTAATTTACTTCTGATAGGCAGAAAAAGAGTAGATTTGTTTTTTCAAGCTTGTCACATTCCCAGTTAAATAATTCACACTTACATACTATGTGTATATACACCTGCTCTGAAAATAAAAGAGTTAAGTTGCATGGAATTTTTATTTTAAGGTACTCGTATATTATTACATTACCTCAGAACATCCATGAGCATCCCGGCTCCTGTGCTGAAGGCTTTGTGGCAAAAGAAGAAAATATCACACCGTTATCAACATTTCGGGAAGAGAAAACCGCATGTGAAAACATTCTAGTGCTTAGAGAGTGACCTGACAAGTTTTATAATAGGGACACTTCAATCAAATACTGAATCTTCTCCAAAACTTGTTCTAACCTATGTGTTTCACATCTTGAATAGACTGATCATCTTCTTCCCAAGTACATAAAACATTCAGCTCTTGGAACTTATGCCCCAAGATAGCAAACCATTTCAAGAGAAAAAGGACATTAGCATACTTCAGAATTCAGCTCAAAGCAACTGGACTTTGTTTTAATGGATTTTTAATCACCTTCCACCACAGCAGAAATCCCTTGAAGGCTTCCAATATGTTAAAGTGAAATCTGCCCTCAGTTTATCTGAGTTTATCTCAGCTGCCCTCTGCTAATCTGCAGGGTAAATCAAAGTGCGGGCCCTGATTTGAACCCTGGAAGAAACTTTTTTTTTTCCTCTACATGAAAAAATACCTGCTGCCCCTCCCCCAAAATCAGTACAAAACACGTCTAAGCTAGCTGATTTCCACAATAAACTACCTCTATTCTAAAGATAATCCCACTTATTTCAAAACTCTACAACAGCTGCTTGGGAAAAAGTTCAATGAAACAATTATTTTTAACTAAACATATCTGAACTGAGTCACAGAATGTTTTATGCAACATTTAGGTCTACACAACTGCCACACTGAGATCTTATAGGAAACCCAACTTAATTTCTTCTCATGACAGGCACACTTATCTAGCAGACCTAGGGAAGCCAGCAGATGTGGTGGGTTTGGATTTTAGCAAAGCTTTTGATACTGTCTCTCACAGTCTCCTTCCAGACAAAGCATCCAGCACAAAGCTAGACAAGTCTGTAATACGATGGGTGAGCAACTGGCTGACGGTTCGTACTCAGAGAGTCACAGCACATGGGGTTACTTCAGGCTGGTAGCCCGTCACCAGTGGGGCTCCCCAGGGCTCACTTTTAGGGCCAGAGCTCTTTAACGTTTTATGAACAATCTGGATGCAAGGCATCGAACATACATTAAGTAAGTTTGCCGAAAACACTAAACTAGGAGGAGCTGTGGACTCCCTCAAGGGTGAAGGGGCCTTACAGAGAGATCTGGAAAGACTAGAGAGCTGGGCAGCCACCAACCGTATGAAATTCAACAAGAGCAAGTGCAGGATTCTCCACCTGCAGGGAGCTGGACTCGATGATCCTTATGGGTCCCTTCCAACCTGACATACTCTATGATTCTATGAGCTTACCAAAAGACACCTGAACAGCCATCGCATACAAAGGGGAGAAAATCTGAAACAAAGAGATTTGTCTTCAGTTAGACAACATGGTCATTGTTTTGCTAACAGCTTCTAGCTTAGTTTTTACATTATTAGCTTCTGCTTACCTGTATCACGGGCCAGGTAACTTTAACAAGGACACTTAGTAACTGCATCTAGAGAGCACCTAGAAGTTGCTTTTGTAACAGTTATACTGTTAACTCCCCTAGTGAGTATTACTGAAAAACACATGAGCAGGTAAATCATATACATTCCAGAAGTTGGAATTATGCTTTTAATTCAAGTTTTTCAATATCAAATGGTCAAACTAGGTCATTTGGCTAGCCATCGAACTTACCAGTTACGCTAAAAATTGAATTTGTTGCGAGACCACTCAGAATACTAGTCACTGACTGCTAGAGCACTGGACAGTTTATGTATTTATTATATGGGTTGCCAGCTGGAGGAGATGCTATCCCTTCCAAAACCCAGCACGTCCTCCATTTGACAGTCCTGATGATCCTGCTCCTTCCTCTCTATCCTTTGTATCGCACGTACCATCCTTGTATAGCTTAAATTGCAGGTACTTCTCTGCACACATCCTGCACCTAACCGCAGCAGTTCTCACAGACAGTATCACTTCACCGCCTGCCGGACTCAGTTTTTGCGGCCGCAGGTGCCCCCCTCCGGGCCCTTACTCCATTTCTCCATCCTTCACATTTGGTCGCAACGGACCACACCGCACTGGACTACAAAGCTCCAGTCACGAAGATCTCCGTCCCTTCACTCGCAGGACTCAGCAGTCCCTTCGGAAAGCTTTCAGTACGGGCGCTGCTGACGCCTCTTTCTGAAAGGCGACATTTTCACCAACCTCATTTCCCGAGGCCGATGACGGCCAGCGAGGGCGGGGGGCGGCATGAACCACCCAGAGACACAACTGGAACCACAGGCCCCGCCAACGGACGGTGAGGGCTGCAGCGGGGAGGACGCCCCGAGGGGGACGCACTAC